TATCCAGATAGCCTACAGTCTCTCAGAAAACGGTATTTTGTATGTTCTTAGCCTCTTCTTTAAAATAATATTAAATTGAATATAGGTTTCGGGATTACTTTTCACATGATTTCAAATTGAATTCCAGAAAAGTACTTTATTTTCTACATAATTCTTTTACAGCTGTAAAGTACGGGAAAAAGAAAGTTTAATTTGATTATGACGTCATAATGGATCTAGCATCAAAAAGGCAGTCTGAAATCATTTACTAGATCTTGACCTTAAATGTACATGTATGTAATCTAATATACGTTCTTTTGTCGACGCCCTTAAAATGTACAACTGTATATATACAAAGCGCCCCAAATATATGCATATCGAGCGTATGGAAATACAAAATCCCACATTCACACGCGCCTCCAAAATATGTAGAATGAGGCATACATGCGTAACTGTATTTGAATATTACAAATTTATTAGACACCTAACCTTGAACAATTTTTTTTTCTACTAAACTTGTTATTGTATGCGAACAAAATGATAAACATGTAATTATTTATAGGTTCCCATTATTTTTTCTGAAAATCAGAACACACTTATCAGCTCTCTTAAGGTTTTACGGATACATACAATGTACACGCATGCAAGTACAGAACATGCACGTTTTATAAGTGCATATGCAAGAGCGCCCCAAATATCTGCATATCGAACGTTTGAAATTCAGAAAAATTCTAAATCCCAAGTCTTTTTTCTTAATTATCTTTGCAATAAAATATCGGTTAAACTGAAATGATTTTATTGATTTACAGCATATATTAAAGTCAATTATAGGTCCCCTGAGTTGATCATGAGTTGTTTTCATAACGGGTAGTCCTCCTGGGCAGTCATCGTCACGGTTTGTAACATCGTAATTACACAGGTAAATACTAAGATGTCAATCCATATATTTTCCATAAGAAATGAATTACCGGGAGATGTCTCGTTTTCTCTGATCATATATTAATTGACAGCGTTTATGAACAGCTGTTAAAACACAGGCCTTTGTAAACCGGTAAATCACAAAAAAGAAAAATCCGAGACAAAAAACAGAAAATATAAATGTCTCTGGAAATAACATTGCCTTTAGATAACTAAAATAAATTAATGTCCGCCGATTTTTTAATTAATCTGAACATTCATTGATGTGTACCTGTACAAGCAGTGTGTATATTTTTATGAAGCCTTCGTCCAAACGAACAATATAATAAATCTTGAATGAATTAACTAACCCCTCAGTACACACACATTCGCCTACACCTGAAATCTAATCAAAATCAGATCTTTATTACGGCCCGAAATTCTGATAGTCGCTGTATTTCTATGATTGACTATACATGTACAGTACAGGCAACGCGGATCCCGTATTTCCCGCGCCCCGTCGCGGTATAAACACAACGCGGGATTTGGCCAGGTGAGACAGGTAAACCGCATTCCCTCCGCGGGAAATTCACCACCTACCTGTCCCCGCCGCGGTTAAATCATCGATCAACTAGTATCATAAACAAACGGGAGTTATCTCCCCGAACAGGAATTTTGCGAAATTCCCTCTTTAAAAAAAAACAAATTAAAATCCCGCAGTGTATGTATATTTATGAAAGTATTTTCTTTTATTTCGCAAAAGGTGAAAATAATGAATGAACAAAAAAAAAAAAAAAAAAAAAAATTGTAAAGCAGAATATATTTAATCGTTTTTTGTTTTTTGTTTTTTTTTAAATTTTATTTATTATTTATTTATTAATTTTGTTAAGTTATATATCAATACTAAAGCGACATCTTTTTTTAAATAGTATCAAGAAAACTATTTATAAGCTGAGTCATTTGAGAGTTTAACGTGACAAATTTTAATGTCGGAAATATAAGTTCTAATAACTTCTCTTTTCAAATTATATGCGAACTGCAATGTTACATACACGTGCTAAACAATAGTCTGTGCGAGTTCCGATTAACAGTTTTCAGCATTCCTATGAGGAAAAAATATATCTATATACTGTTCATGTTTTTTTTTTTTTTTTTTTTTTTTTACCAAATTTAGAACAATATAATTCATTTAAATAATTTCACTTTTAATTACTGTATTAATGTGCAAGCATTTCCCTGAAATTGTCGAATGACCGGAAAGCTGTAATATTCGATGGTGAGCGTTTGCAGTGAGTGGGCGCGTGAACGTTATAAAAGATATCAATAAAATATAACAATTTTTTTCCCTCGATATTTACTTCTTTTGTAAACAGTGGTTTGTTTTTAATTTAAACATTTCTCCAATTACAGAAGATGAAATGTGCATGGTGATGAACTTCACAAAACAATTAAAACGGGGGGGGGGGGGTTATCACTAAAACTTATTATTCTCAATAATACTCAAGAAAAAAACCAATGCCAAGTTTACTTGAATATATTCAATCTGTTTCTTTGTGTATTAAGTATTAGTCGCGGTCATTTCCTGTGTATAGGGATTAGCAGAGCAAGAGCAGGAAACGGCATGCCCTAGGGGTTTCACACCTGTCCTAGAGTACCTGTGGTAAATTTCTCTGCATGTGCAAGGCGTTGTCTAGCCATACAACACACCAGTCCCTTCAACGTTTCATTATTTCATTATTTTCAAATGTAACTACAACCATGAAAGTTACGCGAGTCAATATATACTTTTTTTTTACCCTGAGTGTATGTTAAAAGGAAAAAGATCAATCATACTTTTAAAACAAATTAATAGAGTTTAAATGAAATAAAATAGATCAAATCAAATTATGTTTTATTACTTTTTTTTTAAATGCCGACGGGCTTGGTATTTATGTTTCTGTTTAATATATATGTACATGTACATGTGCATGTATTATGCATGTAGAATGTAAAATAATAATAAAAAAAACGTACAGAATGTTACGGCACGTGCAACGTTTTTCCTTTGGTCAGTTTATTGATTTATCGAGTCCATCGATTAAAACAAAATATTCATGATAGAATTTCAATGAAATGAATTGCTTCTGGATTATTTTTTTTCCAGTTTCAATATGTCGTTTCTGTGAACAGATAATATACTGTAGCCGATTTATCAGTTTATTGTCCAGTTGTGGACTTTGACTAATTCTACGATCAAGTTTCTGAAAAACACCGAAATAGTGACAGCCACAGACACTATTTAAGGTCTTCCGTTTAAATAGCACGATTAAAGACAAAAATATCTACCGAAACAAGATCATCGTCGCAAGCCACGGGTTTTGTGTCCATTCTATTTCCACAAACCCGTGGCTGCCTCCTACCAAATTCTCTCGTTCTCGCGACTGAATCATTGAATATTTATTAAGTGACGCCAGGTTTACCCTGACCAATGAAATCACTCTGTAGCAATTTTTGGTACGCTTAAATGGCGGCGCCCATAATGAAATCATGTTTGCTATGCGTGGCAGATTTATTGAAAAAAAATACGATAGATCCTGAAGAACAGATGTGAGTAACGTATATTCTAAAATACTTACAAGGTTTTACATTAAAATACAGGGTTTCGAATGTAGACGTTGTGTGAGAACGCTGAATAGCGTTACTCGTTAAGAAAGGAAATTCGAACTGAAGTTGATGTACAGTTCGTGGTTATGGTTACATCCAAATACAAGATAGACTGATCATTTTCATTGGTTCTGACTTGAAGCGTCAGATGTTATTCCATTGGTTGAATGTATGTTATTAATATTCATGAGAACGAGAGAAATTTGAAGGAGGCAGCCACGGGTTTGTGGAAATAGAATGGACACAAAACTCGTGGCTTGCGACGATGAAACAAGATATAATAACATATTTTGGTGACATGTGGTAGGTACATGTATATGATATTTTAGGCCCGATATCCAAGAGGGGTCCAGTGTTAACAAATGGAAGTGACTTACCTTCTCTATTTCATAATACCGCGGGTATGATTTTTTAATAAAACGTAAATTCTACGTTATTTTTATGGATTTTTCATATGGAATACATTGTAAATGTGTACTAGAAGATTAATTTATGGAAAAAGACGAATAAAAATATTCTTGGACCCCGGGGTGTATATATAGGGGGGGGGGGGGTCCTGTCCACAAGCACCTGTGCAGCATTCAAGCTTAAAAGACCATTCAAACAATACAAATCAGGAACAGGGCAAATCTTTTGAAATCAGAGGTAGAATCAAGTGCCATGGATCTGTCATGTTGTAAATTTTGAACTTACCGGTTGTCAGTATTTACTGCCACCCAGTAAATTCAAAATTTGTAGCATGAGAGATCCTTTTCATGCTAGCACTTACCCCGAAACGAGACCTTATACGGTCTCATTCAAAGGACCAATCTCCACGTTTTACTACTTATCCAAACTGGGCATAAAACATTCTCGATGATTTTTTTAATCATTATGTTGAACCTAACAAATTATTCCGACTCGCTGTATGATCTGAAAAAACATGGCTGAACTTATCCATTCAGAAACTCACAGACTGGGATTGCTTTTAACCAGTGTGTGTTATGGCCTTGATGCAAGGTCATTTGGTCGAGTCAAGGTCACTGACAGAGAAACTGTAATTTCGCTACCGTATTTGTACTAGTGAAACATTGCTGGTATCATGCAGAGTGTGACATGGCCTTGACTCAAGTTCAAGGTCACTAAGGATAAGATGTTTTGACTGTATGTATGGACTAAAAGAACATGACGTGTCACTGTGAACTTTTCAAGTCGGTAACACACAGATTGGGTTTTATGACAAGAGTGTGTCATGGTTTGACGTAAGACATTTGGAATGTTCAAGGTCACTTACATTCCTTTACAGTTTTTCCTAGCGAAATATTGTAAGTTGCTTCCCCTTACAAGATTGCTTACATGTATAACTTTAGAATGTGGCATGACCTTGACTCAAGGTCACTTCTTCCTTCCGCAGCTCCAACGGAAGACCTATTCGTTGCTTTGCAACGAGCTCGCTCTAGTTGAAACAACTCTTTCTAAAAATAGACTCATTTTATATTTACTTTCATTGCAGTCGGGATTTTGCCAACCATCTGCGCATCCTCCAGGACAAGTACCGTCAGTTTTGTTGCACGGTACTTTCCCTGCACAGTTTCCACTGCAATTTTCCCTACAATAATACCCAAAGGTACCGTCATCACATTCTGAAATAGAATATAGAATAGATTGAAAGCTCATATGTTTTAATGATATATCATGAGCATCTCAAATAGTTTACAAACATATATACCTTCATTGCACTTCTTTTCATTATGTTTATATCCTGGTTCACAGCGTCCAGAAGGACAGAAACCTGTCACGTGATCACAATTTGCGTTGTACTCACAATGTCCACATGCAAAACTGCAGTTCTTTCCGTAAGATTTACTTTTGCAGGCTGAAAATGTATAGTTAAAAGACCTTCACTCCTACTCCTAATTCAAATCATTTTACCTATGACTAGTTCTGTTCTCGGGGATCGAGGTCATTTAGGATATATTTTAATTTTAAAATGAGGAACAGGACCTTATTAACATATTTCAGTGTACTTGTTCTGTTAATAATTAATCCCTTTAGTATTTTCTGAAGAAGAAACACTAAGTCCTAGCTTAAAAAAAACAATTTATGAAGGTACTTTTCTCTGTCAAACTCAAGAAAGAAAATATGTAACACCTAAAAACTGTGTTTGTTTTTTTTTATCTTTTGTTGATTATTCAATGCGTAGATATGTTATAAAAATACAAGCGATACAATTGACTTTGAACGCAGTCAGTTGGCCAAGTCAGCTTCGAGCAAATGAAGATGATAATTTGGTTGATTGAATATGTGTTATATTGAAGAAAATGGTTTTTATGGGAAAAGAGAATGATTAAGAGAGTCCATTACAATAACAATTTATCTTATATTTCATTACAGCACCACTTAATATGCAGATGTTATAATTCCCAATGTTTATTACGATATCAGAGATACTTTGAATAATGTTTTAGTTTTTTTTTCTAATTCTGATTAAATGTTTTATTTCAATTTTCTAATCAATAGAATTGCAGAAGTCTTGGTGTCAAGTAATGGATAACTTCTGCAAACATGCAAAGAAAATAACAACACTTCATAATATTAAATATTCTCTTTATAACAAGTTTAAAAATATTTTTTCAAAACCTGTACAACTCGTCCAAACACAAAAAGGAACTGATCAACGGGGGTTTATTTTTTATGTAGTACGTCATTTAAAAGCGGTGGAATAAGCCTCCTTAATGAAAAAGTTATTGCCCAGCATTGTTGAGTCATATCTAATCAAGAAAAGTCATTGGTAAACATACTGGTGATAAAATAAACTTGTACAAGTTATTACCATTTATTGTATTTTTTAGAACAAAAAAGAAAAACCTAGAATTTTTCTATGGATTAATTCAGATTTTTTTTTTTCTGCTTTGATAATAATTTATATATATTACTATATTACATATATATATATATATATATATATATATATATATATATATATATATATATATATATATATATATATATATATATATATATATATATATATATACAGCTAAACTTCGAAATCTCGAACACGGATATCTCGAATACCCCGGATATGTCGAAGTAAGGCCGTGGTCCCGACGAAATTTGCTTTATAAATGATTAAAATAAACCCCTCTATGTCGAACACGGTAATGTCGAATACCCCGGTTATCTCGAGGTAAAATTGTGTACCCATTCATTAAAATCACATGCGTTATCTCGAAGTCAGGATAATTTTCCGCTCTGATGATCAAGTCCGTTAGGTAAACTGAATGCTCTATTGATAACACCCACCTGTCTGTCACGCTCGGGTTACCTGTGTTCCTGTGATCAACAGATAATAGCGCGATAATTATACGAAGTGTATGTATTGCTTACCTTGATAGTAATTATGCAAGCCAAAGGTTGTGTGTATTAGTCTAATGCATATGCGTGGATGACACGTTCATTGTTTTGTGGCTTGGGTACGTTTATCTTGATAATTAATCGCAATTTAATGCTATGTGAAATAGGCGCGCATACATAGTTTATGCATGCATATGGAAGTGAAAATTATAAACATCGAAGTAAAACAAAATTCTGTAATTTAATGCAATTAGAATTTATTTTCCCTATATGAGCGTGCAGAAATTACAATCGTCCGTACACCATCATGTGAGCATGTGTCGCAGTAAAAACTTGTGCTGTAGTGCCCTGTGATTCAGTGTTGTTCTGTTGTTAGACAAAAGTGCGTGATTTTTCTTTTGTGTTTGATTTTATTATGGTAAAATAATTTTCTTTTAACTGATTTTACATGTATGAACATGTTTTTCCAATAAAAGAAATGTATATTCTGACAGCGACCGGTTTTAAATTTACAATGCATAGACGATATCCGGTTATGTATACATTGTACATGGGAAACGATGCTAGCGGTTGACTTTCCGCGTTGGATTATACTTCTGTGCATATTATACAAAGCTTTTATTTTGTGAATTATAAAGAGGATGTAAAATTTTTTGATTGCTAAATACATGTACATGTATATTAAAGAAATCTTATACAGAATTTCAAACAAGAAGTATTTCGACATGTTTTTACTATTAAGTACATGTTCACTGCACTAAGTTTATTTGAAGTTCATTTGAATTATAACACTCGATATGTCGAACCCCCGGATATCTCGAAGTTCATCAACGGTCCCGTCAACTTCGAGATAACGAAGTTTAACTGTACAGTGGCTGCAACGTTATTGTTGACAAACCAATCGTGTAGAATCGTTCGTGTACCGTGCGTGATCGTTCATGTAACGTGCGAGATCGTGCGTGTATCAGACTCAATCGTTTGCGGTTTTAATCGTGCGTGATCGAGCGTTAAGAAACGTGTAAATTTCGTTTTGTAAGTTTTTATCGGAATGTTATTTGTTATACAAGCATTTCGCTTGTTTTTTTTTTTTTAATCCAAATAAAACAAATGAAGCGCGATTTACATAATTGAAAGCAGAACGAGCTAATTATCGCTTGGAACTAAGCGATATATTAAGTCGCACAATATTGTGTTCTCGTCAAATAGCTTGATTTTTTGTGATAAACCGTACTTAGATGTGTAAGGATTTTATCTCTGATGTTAATTATGTTTACTGCTAATTATGGTCAAGATATTTTTAAAATCAAAAGATCAAAAATAGATAGTTTTACAAATAAATGAATAAACAATTCTCAATGCTTACATAAATATTTAATCGGCGAATGTACATGTACACGACATGATTGTCGGGGTTTCGTTTATCAGTGTTTATCTTTGGAGCTTACTTTAATTATTTTTTTTAATTTCTGCAAATAAATGATTTGTAAAATAATTGTTATTTTAGAGATTCAGGAATGGAAACATGGACATAACTTATAATATAATTCATTTTCATGCCATTTTTTTTCAAACTTATCCCTTTCCGCATAGTATGAAATCCAATTCAATCAAAACTCACGGTCCACCTTTACATGTATGTACATCTTCTGATAGAAGAGGAAAAATCAGTTTTCTCAAGTCGGAGAATTACGTAAATAATTATTTGTAATCTAAAATAATTAATAAGTCTTACATGTATTTAGTTCCAGAAAAATCCATTTCTTTTTTTTTTTTTTTTTTTCATTTTTCAAGATAATATCAATAATTATTTGAAATCTAAAATAAGTATAAAGCCTTCTTTCGTTTTGAAAATATCCATTCCTAAAGAATTTGAACTATTTTGCGTGAAGAATCGTGCGTTTGCGTTAGCAATCGTGTAAGATCGTGTAACGTGTAGAATCGTGTGCGTGAAGGATCGTTCGTGCAAGATTTTATCGTGCGTTAATCGTGGGGAATCGTTCGTGTAACGTGATCGTTCGTGTAAGTTGTCAACAATAACGTTGCAGCCACTGTATATATATATATATATATATATATATACATATATATATATATATATATATATATATATATATATATATATATATATATATATATATATATATATATATATATATATATATATATATATATATATTTATATATATATATATATAGGTATATGAGGTTGTTTGTGGGCACCGACCTTCTAAACAGGTTTGTGGGATCTCGCATTTCTACATTGCATAGCTATGTCATATTCATGATTTAGGCGTTATATATGGTCATTATATAATATATAATATAATTTTTGAGATAAGATTAAAAATGTTGTATATCATTGTGGGTCATTAAATTCATATATATAGAGCATTGTGGGATAAAGTATATACATCGCACAATGCTCTATATATATGAATATCATGACCCACAATATTATCATATGCTATATATATTATGTGCTGCATTTCACAATATTAGACATAAGAATTAATGTTTGATATAAATATATATGTATATTTACATATGTACAATATGGAATGAATCATTAAGAACAGTTTTGCTGGATTCAATATAAGATTTTAAATATTACTTTTCAAGTATTTTGGGGTCATATTACATAATGACTCACTGCGATATACGATTTATGAGATTCTTAACAAGGTATTTTAGGGATATCCTCTCTCTCTATATATATCCCGCAATTTCTTACATACACAAATATATATAGTGACAAAGTTGATTTATCAAATAATGTCCACCCCACAATGTATTATTTATAATTTATTTATTCATTAAGCATTGTTAGATATTGAACGGCATATTTTATCTATATGCCTACTTATCCCAGATTTTCTTATATACATGTATATAGTGAACCACATTTAAGTATTGAATTCTTATTTTTAAAAGTAAATATACAGATTTAATCACTGCATTGATTCCATAATGTCCAATCTGTAATGTATTTTTATTAATTCAACATATAGGATAGCAGAGTAATATTACAAGATTCTACACTATATTTTTATGCAATCGCCTGTCCCACAATTCGCTATATACATATATATATATATAGTGACCCACAAACAGCTATCATCACTACATTTATAACATAATGACCTTCCATTCGTGAATTATTCATTTAAACAATAAAGAGCTTATCAACCTTATATTATGAGATTTTAAAGACAATATCTTACGTATATGCTTTCATATCCAAAAGTTTGTTATAAATATATCTATATCATGACCCACAAACAGGTATAATCACTATATTTATCCCACAGTTCATATATACATAGATACATGTACCGTGACCCACAAACAGGTATAATCACTATATTTATCCCACAATTCATTATATACATATATACAGTGACCCACAAACAGGTATTATCACTATATTTATCCCCCAATTCATTATATACATATATACAGTGACCCACAAACAGGTATAATCACTATATTTATCCCACAATTCATTATATACATATATAC